TTGGGCAGAACAGGCCCCCAGGCCTTCCTTGTTCCAGAGTCCAGGAGGCCAAGGATAGCAGCAGCTCAGCCCTGGGTGTCCGGGGAAGGATCCTGGCCCAGGGGCTGTGCCGCGGAGCACAACAGCCTCTGCCCTGGACCCTGCTCGGTGTCCATGAACTTTCCCGGGGAGCCAGGTACAGGGAGGTGCTGCCGCTCAAGGTGGGCCGGGCCCACCCCCTCACGGTGCAGAGGAGGAACTGAGGCAAGGGGTGGAGCTTGCTCAAGGTCACTCAGCTTGGAGAGCCCAGGCCACACCACCCACTGTGACCCGCATCCTGTGCACATGTAATGACGGCGTCCTCCGGGCCATGCATGTTTGTACGTCCATGTACGAAATAAACATCTCATGAGACGCCAGTGTGTGTACCGTCTGTGCATATACATGTGGGTACGCAGCACACGCGCATGTCCGCATGCACACCCTCACCCCACAGGACACCCTCGGGCTGGAATCAGTGAGAGAGCGGACAGAGGTCACGCAGCTAGCGAGAGATAGGGGCATGAACCCCAGAACCCGTGCTCTCCACTCCTGACCTGGACGCCTGCTCCAGGCGTGTGCACACGTGGTGGGCCTGGGGATGAGAGGCGAGCGGCTTCAGGCCTCACTCCGCATGCTCCCTGCCTGTGGGTGCCGACCCCTGTGTGGAAGCAGAACTGGGCCTCGGAGCAGGTGGAGACAGCAGTGCAAGCAGCCCCGACCTGTGCTGGCCAGGAACCGCCCAGAGGTTTCCCGATGGCCATACTCTCCCAGAGACCCCTGAGTTCCTGCCTGGGGCGGCCAGGGCTGTGAGTGGTGTGAACTGGGGTGACCTGGAGACCCCCTGGGACTGGTGGTGTGCACAACACGGGCCCTGCCTCCGAGCTCTGGAAGCATTAGTAACACACCTTTTACATGTGTGTGGGCTGCTGCACTGTGACCAGCATCTCTGGGCCTGTGACCTCACGCTGAGGGCGGACAGGATGTGCTTTCAGAGTCTATTTGCACAGGGTGTGTGTGTGAGGCATATACAGTGTCCAGAGTACACGTGGACTCATGTAAACAGATGTCCATGGGGTATGCACAGCTGGGCTTGTGTGCACAGGTTAGCGTGTCTGTGGAAAGCCACCTATGAACTTAAGAATGTTTCTGCATGCTTGTGTCCACATGTGTGTGCTTTGTACACATCACTACATACATGATATGGTGTACAACATATTCTTGTTTATTGACAACATACATGTGTATGCCCAGTACATGTATATGATACAATATACAGCGACCAGTGTGCTCCATGTGGGCCCAGTGACTGCCTGCATAGTTTTGCACATGGAGTATTCGTGTATATGCCATGTACACGCATTGCCACAATGGACTCTATCCATGTGTGTACACACCCTATACAAGAATAAGCGTGCACGTACGTGTATGCCTTCTACATGCCTTGCGGAAAGTTTTATGATGAGGACATGTGTGTACATTCATGCTCCACAGTGTCTGTGCACACACATCCATGCATGTGCCCCGGCGCCCACAGAGAGGGTGGCTCTGTGCAAAGCCACATGCATGTGCATCTCCATGTGACATGCACCATGCTTGTGCCTGGGCAAGCATACACATGCACACATGCGGACCTCATGGGCCAAGTCCATGGTATATACGCCATGTCCTGTGCATGTGGCCGGCGTGTATACACAACATGCATTGGACCTCAGGTAAACACATGCAGCATGCATGGTCCAGGTAGGACCCATGTATGTTCCCATCATGGAAATACGTGTGTACATGGGAGACCTGAGCCCCGTCCCCAGGGGCCTGCATTGGAGAAAGGAGTGGGCAGAGCACCGGGGGAGAGTTGCTGGTGCCAGGACAGTGATGGGGGCACAGACTGTGCCTCCAGCCTCTGGGGTCCTGAGCCTCCCGGGTGGTTGGGCCTGGCCTCCTCCTTGCAGAGCACCAGGGGCATGTCTGGCTCCTGTCTCGGCCCAGCCTTTGACAAGTCCTGCCCTGCCCAGCAGCGTGTCCAGGGGTCAGAAGCAGTTGTCCTGAGAGGACCCAGCAGAGGTCCTAGACCCAGGAGGCTGGGGAGGCAGAAGAGGGTGGTGGTGTTCAGTATCAGCACCCTGAGGCCTGGGGTGCCTGGGTGACGGGGCGTCCTCCCAGGGGGCCTGGAAGCGCTGCACATTCTAGGTGGTGATCATTCGTTTCCATCACTTTTTGTTGTTGTTGTTCATCCTCACCTGAGGATAGTTTTTCCATTGATTTTTAGAGAGTGGAAGGGAGGGGGAGAGACAGAGAGAGAGAGAGAAAGAAACATCAGTGTGAAAGAGACACATCGATTGGTTGCCTCCTGCACGTGCCCCAACAGAGGCCGGGGATCGAGTCTGCAACGGAGGTAGGTGACCTTAACCAGACTCAAACCTGAGACCCTCCAGTCCGCGGGCCGATGCTCTATCCACTGAGCCAAGCCGGCTAGGGCTCCATCACCCATTGATGATTCATAATGGCTATTGACAAACTGATCAGATGAGCGATGGCTACTAGGTGTCAGCCAGTTCTTGCTGACTGACTGAGGGCCGGGGGGCGGGGGGGCTGCTCTGTAGGCTGCTGTGCACAGGGGTCCCCAGGAGGAGCAGGAGAGGGTGTGAGGAGACAGAACTCCCCTGACCCTGGGAAGGAAGCCACTCCATGTGGCCAGTGTTGGTGCAGCAGGGCCTGAGGTCAGAGGTCTCTCTGGGGGGCGGGGAGCATAGGAAAGTGTGGGGGAAGGAGGAACCCGTCTCCAGGAAGACCAGGCGGAGGTGTCAGCATCTAACTGGAGGGACGCCGGGAGGAGCAGGTTCTGGGAGGGAGGAGCTATTTTTAGGTGTGAGTTTGAGGTGTCTGTAGATCCCACATGGAGACGCCAGGCAGGCAGCTGGAGCTCAGAGCAGCCATATGGGGCGGCAGGGACTTGGGGGGTGGGGATGGAGAGTTGGCAAAGCCAGCAAAGGGACTCGGAGAGGGGTGGGCCAGGAGAGGCGGCCTCCTGGGCAGGAGGACCCCAGGTGGCCCTGCACTGCCTGGCAGGAGGGTCTGTAGGAGCCAGCGACAAAGATGACTGGGGGCTGAGGGTGCATGGGCCCCACTGTGCCTTGGCTCCTAGGCGCTCGCTCGCTCTTTTTTATTGATTTTTTTACAGAGAGGAAGGGAGAGGGATAGAGAGCTAGAAACATCGATGAGAGAGAAACATCAATCAGCTGCCTCCTGCACACTCCCTACTGGGGATGTGCCCGCAACCAAGGTACATGCCCTTGACTGGAATCGAACCTGGGACCCTTGAGTCCGCAGGCCGACGCTCTATCCACTGAGCCAAACCAGCCAGGGCTCCTAGGCTCTCTTAACAGTGAGGGGGTGAGGGTGGGGGCAAGCCCAGAGTCCACTGTCCTGGGCAGAGCCACTGCACCTGGGGTCACGGGGCCCAGAGGACTCCCTGGAGGAGGAGGTACCCAGGCAACTCTGAGGCTTGATGAGACCGTGTGAGGAGCGTGTAATGTGGCCTCAGAGGCAAGCGAGGGCCTGGAGGGCTCAGGAGCCTGAGTCTGGCCAGTGGAGGCAGGGGAGGCCGAGAGCCATGGCACAGGCCCTGGTGAGTGCCGGGATGCAGAGGAGGGCCACGGGCTGAGAAACCCAGACAGTTCCATCGACCATTGGGAGCAGCGGAGCGGCCCAAGGACTTACAGATCCACGCAGGGCATAGGCCAGGGTGCACCCGGGAGAGGGGACGAAGGGATGGGTTCTGGACAGAGACTCAAGGACAGGGAAGGGGATGGCACACGGCTGTGGCCGGATGGAAGCTGACAGAG